AAGTTCAGAACAGAAGGATCTGGCTTTGATGCGCTAAGTGGTAAAAGGAGAGTGTCTTTTGGTGCGACTTAATCATTTGGTTAAGAAAGGAGAGTTTCTGGGGGTGCTTCTGAAAATACAGTCTCTGGGGTGGGGGTGCTTATGCTTGTGTCTAAGGCTTACGCTTTGACTTCCCCTTTGGAGCAGGGAAACGGGCAATAATATGGGTTTGGTGCTTGAGCGCATCTTTCTCATTCGGGTGCTTTACTAGAGTTCATAGATAAGTCACTTTACTAGAGTTCATAGATAAGTAATGTAATAGAGAGAAAGTCAATATCTCATAGTTCTGAAACTGAAAAGAAAGCATTTGACCCCTACCCCTGGGAAATTACCCCTAGACACTTTAGAGCTACTACTCGGATCCTTTTACTACTACAAGCGAGACAGCAACCAGTGCTGGAAAGATTAGCCAGCCCTTCTCCTCTTTCAAACTAGAATTACTAGACCTAATTAAGACTCAACTTTAGAGCGGTCTATCGCTACTGCCATAAAGTCTATTGCTTTAACTGCGACCTCCACGATTGAAACAAACAACTCTGGGGTTTAGGACAGTAAGAGAGAAATCCACTATTAACCGCAAGACCGAAACAGTGAAATCAACTACTATAAGCAAGAATCGAATTGGCACTGAATAAACTCTCTTTTAAAGAAGAAATAGAAGCACTGAGTAAACTTTATATTAATAGCATTCGCACTGAGTAAACTCTCTTCTGTCTAGGGCACCCGAGAGCCCGAACTCTTATCTAAAAGACTATACTATGCTATGGCACCGACACCAAGCCTATCTGCCCATTACTACAGTTTCACTATACCTCTCCTTGATCTAAGTTTCCCGATCCGCTCTTTCTAACTCAGGCCTAGCTTTCGTAGCATCTGTAGCCCCTTGCTCCTTTCTGCATCGACAACAGACAGCATTGTAATTGTATAAATAAGGATTGACGTACCTTTCCCTGCTCGCCAACAAACCTATGATTATGACCCTATTCTTAGTATTCTTAGTCAAATGAATTGCTCTACCTATGCTATTAATAAAGAAGATATAAACCTATGCAATTTCTTATTACAAAGTATATAGTATTGTTGGGTAGCTTCGTTCCATCAATATAGTCAACTTGTACTGCCTGCCTGCAATGTCCATATGCGAGGTTCGCTCCACCAACTAAACCTAATTGGGGTATCTTAGCCAACAAGCAACTACTCATGACCAAGCCGACAAGCAACCTCGATAAGAAATGGAATTGATGTTTTCCGACTTACTTAATAGGGTAAGCTGCCTGCGGTTATTATTCTTCAAAGGGAATTCAATCCATCGAGCGCATATGAAAGAAAAGAGTAAACAACGAGCGCAAAGGGAGAGCCGAGAACGTATTCTTCTCTTATTCTATCTACGCCAACACACGCACACAAAATGAAACTTCCACTTATGCTCTTTTCACTCTTGCTCATCTACTTCTCCGTAGTCAACTAAGGGGGATGTTAGTGAATACTGAATTTCCAGTGGATCCGAAGTCAACAAACCAAGTTATTGCTCTGGTCTGTACTCTTTACTACTCTACTACTAATATGGATTCTGGTATGGATTCTGGACTAGACTACTCTACTGGTGAAACAGGACTACTACCTAGCCTAGATCTACTCTTTGGACCACTACTAGTCAACTGGGCCAAGGAACTACTAATGGAAATCTGATCTTTGCAAAGCTCCCTGCCGCGTAACATTAGTCGTTACTTGGCCCCGTGAAAAAAGGCAGTGATGGAATTTTACCTAATAGACCGATCCAAAGTCATTCCTTTTTTACAAAACCCCGTGTTTTTTGATAGCAATATGTATAAAGTAGTTGACTCGACCTCTGCTCAGGCTACTCATACTGATTCCACTGGACCAGACACCTCTACTTGTCAACTTCAGACTAAACAAGGGAGTCAACTCCTAATGAAGGGGATGAAACTCAAACCATAAACTACTGGCTCTGCTCTGTAAACTAAGTCTGATCTTGAACACCTCGACTCTGTTAACTAAGACTTTTCTTGCTCCCGAGCACATAGCTAGTGGGCGCCAAGTTACTCTACTACACCTCCGGCTCATCCAACTCTGGCTCATCTACCTCAGGCTACAGCCAAGACATGACTACTGGACTGGCACCCGACCCGACCTATCTTTATGACACTCCTCCACCCGCTTCAAAGCTAGGAATTGATTCCGCAATTGACTCTGCCCCTACCCGCACTAACTCCATCTTACTTTCCTACTAGCTTCCCTCTGAGTTGCATTCTGAGTTTCGCTAGCTCCATTCTCATACTAGCTCTTTCCCTTACTAGCTCACCTCTCAAGTAACTTAACTGCTTCCCGACCCGAACTAACTCTATCTGACCTGCCGACCCGAGGTCACTTCATGAAACCACCCGACCTCCAACTAGGCAATAGGCACTACAATAAGGGACCTAACAAGCAAGTAAGTAAACAAGCCTAGATTGAGTTCAATTCTGATCTGACCCCTGCTAGCTCCATTCTTTCATAGGGAATACTTAGTATCGGACTTCCCCGGCCGGAGTAGCTCTTAAAACTCACTTAGCAGCTCCACGACTAGCTCACCTCTTAGTTGCATTCTGATCTTAGTAACTGACCTAGACTACCCCCCTTACTAGCTCAACTCTTTGGCTACCTCGTTTATTAAGCCTTGGAGTTACTGCTTTCAGTCTGATGGTGCGCTGTTTGGTTCTATGTCTCACTCGTTTCATCCTGTGACTCCGCCGCTTCATTCTCATACATATTGGTTTCAGGCTTGCACTCCTTAGTTTGATTCTGAAACTAGATGCGGGGAATCGATACCGATAGCATCAGGCTTGGACTCCTTAGCTCCATTCTGAGGGGCAATGATTGCATTCTTGCCGGTAGTGGTTAGAGACCCCGAAGACAGGACTTCCCTCTTTCTCAACTTTCTCCTTAATAATAATATAATGAATTTAGTATAGGCCAAGGCCAAGTAACTACTAACGTTACGCGGCAGGCGTTCTCCACACAATTATATCTTGTATTCTTTGCTTAACACAAGCACGGAATCCTATGCTCTGTAAACCAAGACTCTCCTCTGGCTCCTGTCTATTCTCATCCAACTCAGGCAACTATTCATTTCACCCAGCTGTCGGCTCACAAACACATAGCAAGTAGGAGCCAAGTTACTCTACAACACCTCCGGCTACTATATCTATGGCTCTGTAAACTAACACTGAATTCTGAGTGGAACTAGTGGAATTCTTCGGCTACAGAGTTGCCCCTTACTTATATTTAGGCTGCTTTTCGTATGTCTTATATTTAGGCTGCCTGCCCGTATTTATATTACTGTCTGCGAGTTGCTAGTTTCCGAACGCAAGACTAGGAATAACTTGTACAAACTCCCGAACGCACTGACGCTATTAGCTCACTTTAGCCTTTCACTCGCTACCCCGCTTTAGCTCACTTTAGCTCTGAACTCGCTACCGCTTGAACTCGGCTCCTCTCCTATATATTACCTATGGCTCCTCTACTTCTGGATACAACTAAACTACTTATGAAACAGGACCAGAGCACTAGACTATTATACTACTGGTGAAACAGGACTACTACCACTAGACTAAAAGAGTAGGGAAAGAGACTAGAAATCAGGTGTTAAAGCCTAATACTATAAATCGGGTAGAGCAGAGCCAGATCCTGCTGTAAGGAAAGTTAGCAGTAATAGGTATATCAGCAGAGTTAGCATCAGTGTAATATAGTTTAGGGTGACCCGTTAGGGTAAGTGAGCTAACGGTAAATCCTTTGTTTCCTCGGCGCCAGAAACTAGTCCGCCAAGTCACTACTCCTGTTTTCAAGGCGAGTGGATCTGACTGCCATAGATTCAATTGGTGTTTGAGTTGAGTTAAGGGAAGAAGCTTGATCACCGGTGTTAGCCCAGTCAAGGAATTAATCAAATATATATGAATTATTAGTCGAAGAATAACAAGTAATATATATTGTAGAAGAATAACAAGTAATATAAGTAAGAATATAAAGTACTATAAAGAATATTGGAATAAGGTATGATGATCTAGCGTATTAAGAGTTGTGTATCGAAGTCAAGGTAATGACCATAATAATAGGGCCAAGTAACTACTAATGTTACGCACCAAGCAACGGCGTAAGACGTTGTGCGGTAGCAATAATAATAGATATTACCAGTTATTACAATAGATGTTTTTTGGAGCCTCACTCGGTCTAGATGTTGCTGTATCAGGGGAGAAGAAGAGACTTATATATACCGGCAAGCGGATAGCTTTACTTTTGGATAAGTGGGGGCGCCAAGCTACTGCTACATTTTGGTGTTCGTGAGATAGAAGAGGTAACTAACCATGTGCTCCTTCTGTTCGTATTTAAGATTATTACAGTTCCTGCTCCTAGGTGCGTGGTTTAATTAATTCCACTACAAGAATGGGTTCCACTACAATAATTAGTTCAACTACAAGAGGAGCTAGTTCCACTACAATAATTAGTTCAACTACATAGGAATAGTATAGGAGCAGTATAAGAGGCTGAATTGGAATAGAAGAGATTATCTATTTGCATCCAGACAAATGAAACAATCACCAGAACAGTACTACTACGCCCCAGTACTACCGGTATTCCACTCTAACTCGAACAGGACATTCTAAAAGAGCTCCTACTAGATATTGATCATCGGCTTTGGCTTTTTCCCTCTATGACTAGTATTCGGCTTATACTGATAGTAGTCCAGGAATTGACACTAGAAACTCCCTTAGCGCGGATCAATCCTATGATTCTGTTACTGCAACACGAGAACCTCTCCTGTCTCTACAACTTAGGGCGCGAGTACTATCTTCTCTTCTTGCCCTCACTCCTACTTATACAACTTACTCCGATACTCCTACTTATACCACTTGTTGGGCCAAGCAACGGGCCAAGCAACGGCGCGCCAAGCTTAGTAGTTAGACCAAGGAACGGATAGACAAGTAGGCGCCAAGTTACTCTATTTAATGAAACAACTAACTCAGTCACTCACCGGCAAGCTACTGCTAGGAGCTACAGCACCAAACAAAACTTCCCTTGAAGACCAGACCCGACCTCTCTACTTCTAGAAACCCTATCTCTCTACTTCTACTCGGTATCAACTATACTATAAGGAAACTGCCGCTAATTAAACTCAAACTACTTACTTGTTCAATTCGGGAATAATTCCGTTTGGGCGAGGAAAGCATAGACTAGTTCGTCAATTGTTCTAGTTAGGCTATTACTATATTAATTATATCTATTCTATCTTATGCATGTGCCCTCTTCAACCCCCTAATAATTCCATTTAAAGCGGGTTTGCTCTCTTCCTACTGTTGGGACATATAAAACATATAAAGATGAGAAATCATTCTTTTTTTGTGTATACCTTAGTGAGAGTTTCGGTTGGAAATGAATAAAGTACTTGCTTTGATGCGAGGCGATAGTAGCAACAGTAGGAGTGAGGCCAAGTAGTGCTTAATGACCCAAAGAGGTAGGACAAATAAGTAGTTATAGCATAGTTATAAACAAGTCCACCAAGCAACTACAAAAAGGCAACTGTCAGAAAAGAGCTCATATAATACATTATTTGTAGTTACTACTTCAGATGTGTTTATGGCGGTAGCGAGTCATTCTTCTTTTGTATAGGCTTTAAATGCATTATCCACTATATTAGGCTTATCCCACATGTATTTTCCCATCAAACGGGCACAGATGAGCGGCCCAAAAAGCATCTATTGTAATAGAAAGAGTGGAGCGGCTAAGGGATAGAATTGAGCTAGTTAACCTAAGAATGGAGCTAAGTCGACTAAGGCTTCAACCAATACATCTTAGAATGAAAGCAAGCAAGGGATAGAATGGAGCTAAGCAGTCCAAGCCTGAAAGCAAGGGTAGCGAGAATCAAACACTGCACCAACAGACTCAAGCTCATAAGTCGGAATTACAGAATCAGTTTCAAGAGCGAACACTAGCGGCAGGAGTTCGGGCCTAATTACTTGTTATGTGCTCGGCTATCAAGAGTTCAATCAATAGTTATAAGTTGTTATCTACTATTTGGAATACCTATGGCTTTTGTAGTAATGACTTGCCTCGTAGCTTTGCCCCGGAATAGGAATAAGAGGGAAGCTAAGCTGTACAGTACAGGACTTGCTCATAACTCTACGAGAGCAGAACAATCAGTTGTTGTTTACGACTTCACCTCTGGTTTCATAATGACCCTAAACAGCGCAGTCAAGACAGTTGATCTGAGAAGTCAAACAAATAATTTCTAGAATCTCTATATTGTGCATATCTATCTAATAAGTAGGAATCCTCGGCAATGAAGCGGGAGTCAAGGTGTTGACGAAAGCGCATCTGTACTGCCTGAATATGAGTAGATAACTTCTGAAGCGCTAAGGCACTGGTTGGAGTCTTACTATGCCTGGGTGAAGTCTGTGACTCATTAGTTTGATTCTGATTGGTGGTAGCTATATAGCCTTGGGGTTAGTAGTTGCATTCTGGTTGCTGGTAGCTGTAGCCTTGGAGTGAGTAGTTGAAGGCTGGTTGTTGCTCTGGGTTAAGTCTGTGACTCCCTAGTTTGAGTCTTGGTACTATATGTGGACTTCTGGTCATAGTATATATAATTTATAGGACTTCTGGTCATAGGTGTTAATATAGGTATACCTCGGCTTTCTGGTCATACTATTATATACTTACTTAGATGCGGCTTTCTGGTCATAGGGTTAGTAAACTACCTTATGCGGCTTTCAAGTCATAGGTAAGGTAGGAGTTCTGGTAATAAACTAAATGAGGAGTTCAGGTCATAGGTCTAATTCTTGGATTCACTGGTTTGGTTCTGTAACTACTTAGCTGCATTCCGAGGCTACTTAGTGCCATTCTTGTCCTCGCCAGTGCTATTCTTTGACGACTTTGTTGCATTCTTGGGTTTACTGGGTTGATTCTTGTACCGATGAGTGCAATTCTCACTTTCCTAGCAGCACTAGCATCCGTCTTACTAGCTACATAAGACAACATAGAATCGATACCACCAGTAGTACCTCAGAGAATCAATATCACCAGCTTAAGTCTGTCTAGCTCAACTCACTAGTCCATCCTTACACCGACTAGCTACATACCTAGCAACACTGACATCAGGCTTAGATGCACTGGCTTCATTCTTTCTCTCACTCGTTCCATTCTATCCCTCACTCGTTCCATTCTGTAACTCAATAGCATTGGTCTCAGTTGCATTGGTTCTAGACCTTAGCTACACCGCTTCAGTCTGAGGAGCTCCATACCAAGCCTGAGTGACACCAGCTCCATTCCGAGGGGCACTGGTTGGTGTCTCAGTGGCATCGGTTGAAGAATGAGTGGCACTGCTTCCATTCCTTTACTCACTGCTTGGAGTCTTTCCCATAGTAGCTCCATTCTGATACAGACTGGTTCGATTCTGTAACTACCTTGTTTCGTTCTATCACTTAGCAGCTCCATTCTCAACTCCTTACCCGCATTCCTCGCCTCCTGGTTGACTGTTTGATTATGGTCGGTAGTGGGTTCAGGCTTGTTGTTACTGCTTTAAGTCTTTACCCTAGTAGCTCCATTCTGAGTGTTAGTGCTTGGCCTCTGTCTGATGAGTTGAAGTCTTATAGTTAGTAGTTGCTTGTCCCTGTGACTCCTTAGACGCATTCCGAGCATATGGGTTTGGTTCTTGATAGTAGTTGTCTTAGCCTGTAACTACCTTGGTTCAGCCTTAGTACCAATAGTTCCATTCTTTATCTTTATTTATAGGCTTGAAATGCTGTATTTCTAATAGCCAAGTAACGACTATACCTCTGATCTTTCCTCTGATCTTGCTCTGGCTCATCTACTTCTCATCCCTCTCTGGATCTCTTACCTAGGCGGGGAATCATTACCTTTACCACCAGTGAGTAGAATTATGTGGAATACCGACCCGAGTGAGTTTCATCATATATAAAGAAAAGATCCAATTATGGAGGGGAAAAGCAAGGATAAAGATGTCGACTTTTCTAGACCTGAAGCCCTGCCGCGACATTAGCAGTGTCTTGGCTGTTCTTTGAGAAATTGATTCATTTGATTACAATACCCTAGCCCGACCCCAGTAATAGAATGAGTAGTTGTGGTCACCACCCGGCACAAGCAAGTCAGTAAACAAGTAATTCCACAAGCAAAGCAGCAGTAACTTCATTCCACTACTACCCTCGCCTTGGAATATCATTAAACATATGAGCCAAGCCGATAAGCTACTTCTTAACTCTGGAACTCCTCTTTCCTAACCTTTACATCCCTTAACCTACCAATACAAGGGAAAGGAGCTTGAAACCCAACACAACAAGTGATTGCTCCGCCAAGCGTATACTCATGTTGTGCGACAGGGCCACTAGTGTTCGCTACTTAATATAAGGGCCACTAATTCCATTCAATTAAACCTTCTTCCGGACTCTACCTTTATTATGAGACCCCTCTGACCTGGCTAACCTGACCTGGCTAACTTTCATTCTTAATTGATATCAGTGAATTGATACCCTTATCTTATTCCACTTTACCACTCCACTACTATTTGCTCTGAAAACAATAACTATTCTATTTCTTGCCTTGCCTACCTAGACCTGACTTTAGCCTCTGATTCTGTTTCTTCCGTTCAAGGTTCCATTCTGAAGTAGTTGCGGTGTTACTTGTTGGGTTTACTACCTTAACCGAGTAGTGGTCGACCTTAGCTCTTTAGTAGATCCCTTATTCTTTGTATTAATAGTGACATCAGGCCAAGCAACGAGACAAGGCCTACCGGTCCAGGGCTCCCCAAAACAGGAATTGTAATGACACAAGCCTATCCCTAGTATTGGAAGAAAACAAGTAATTCCACAATCCCAGCATGAGACCAGACCCCGCTCCTCTGTAAACTAATTCTGTAATTACTACTTATGAGCTTACTGGCTACAATACTTCTCTCTCCTATGTCTACAGCCAATCCACTACTGGAGATGGAGCACCAACCTAGACAACTGGAACACCCGACCCTACCTCTGCTATTGATTACTTTACTAGCTGCCTCGCCTACTAGCTCACCAATGAGTTGAACTCTGTGACTCCCTGGTTTCATCCTGGTTGGCATCTTAGTCTTGTTGGTACTGCTTTCAGGCTTTGATTCCCTGGGTTCAGTCTGTCGCTGCTGAGTTGAAGTCTTAAGTAGCTACCCACATACCTAGCAGCAACGGTATCAGTCTTTGACTCACTTGCTCCATTCTGTAACACCTATAACCATCAGGCTGAGTAACACTGCTTTCAGGCTGGGTTTGAGGCTTGCACTGACTGGTTTAAGTCTGTAACTACCAAGGTCGATTCTTGCTGGTAGTGGTTAGAGACTTTGACTCCCTTGTTTGGTTCTTTCAAGCACTTGTTCCAGTCTGATCGGTGTGGGTTGAAGCCTGAGATGCAATGGTTAAAGCCTTGGATGTACTAGTTTGGTTCTTGCTGTTAGGTGTTATAGCCTGGTGGAATCAGTTTTCCTTAATAAGAGAATATATAATTAATTAGGGTTCGACTATATGTCATTATATATAAAGAGAGTCAAAGTGAGACTCTGCATTCCTTTACTGTGTCAGTACTGAGTCAATGGAACTAAAAGATCTCTGGTTTTCTTTCCATTTGATCCAATCTGTACTAGTGTTAAGTCAACTCCTCACTCCTGAAATGAAGAATTCTGGGGGTTTCTATCACTCCTGAAATGAAGTATTCCGGTTTTCTACCTTAGAGCAGAAATGCTCGTGTTTTCTTCTCTTTTCTCAGATCTCTTCTTTGCTGGTTTTTCTCAGATGATCTTTTCTTTGATGGTTTTTCTGGGTTTCGGCTAAGCTTTTCTCTGTCTTTCTATTTGGCTACTCTATCTTTCTCTTTCGAAACTCCACTAAGAACAGCTCAATCCATCCTTACATCCTTACTAAGAGCAGCTCAATCCTTACTAAGAACAGCTCAATC